TGGAATGTGTAATGTGTGTTGTCCCAAAAATACAAAGAGGACACTAGCATAAGAGGGCAATAAGCTAACCCAGTCTTCGACAGCATGACTAGGTCATAAATTCCCATATTTTTCCAAATTTAGGATTGGGTTGTTTCCATCTTATACAGCCACTCTGAATATTCTGAGGTCAAGCTAGGGCAAGACCTAAATATTCTATTCCCTTTATTCATGAACTGAAGGTTTATGTCCTCATTCGTCTGGGAATGTTGTTGATTTGCAGGTGTTGCATCTTCAGGTTCGTTCCTGGGTTTCTTTGCGCACCCTAAGGGTTTTAGTCTAGGGTGATTTGGGAAGAAAGCGTTATTTTGTTGAGGGTTTTCAAGAAACACAGACAACGGACCAAACATGGCATGCATTTATCCAGAATATCTAATAGGAATGAGTACATGTGAGTTGTATGCATCACGTTCTTCTCTGGTCATAGGTTCAGGAACGAACCTCCGTTCCCCAGATGAAGCAAGAACATAGTTAGTTAGGAAAGCTTCTATTTGTTGTCTTGAATCAGAGGCATATTTCATCTTTGGATTGTTTAGAGCATTGGAGAGAAAAGCCATGGTTTTTGTTGTTAGAAAGTTTATGAAAAAAATGAAGTTTTTAAAGATGGCTTTTTGAATGCAAAGAGACGAGAAATATCAGATGGTTGAGAAAAATTCCAAAGGAGGTGTTTTTGGCTATTTATAAAGGCCATGGAAGAGTGTTTTCCCTCAAAATTATTTAATGTTGCAGAGTGAGTGGGACACGTGGTGGCCTTTAGAGAAATCGTGCAGAAGAATGATGAGAATGTTTTCCATGCTTTCCTAGGTTATAGGGATAATGTTCATCATGGTAGCATGTAACGACTGACTGATAGTGACACATTGGAAAAAGTATAATGATGAATCTGATGTCAGCAGTAGTTGGTAGAAGACGAAAAGTTTAGTATAAACTTGTGTAACCAAAAGATGGACATGTGTCAAATAAGAGTATCAAAGAATGGTTGTTTCTCCTTGCGTCAAAACTGACATTCTTGGGGGGAAATTTGTTAGCTCCTAAATTTGACCCCCACACAAATTAGACTTATTGGCTAAAAATAGATTGAAGAAATCTAAAGTTCCCGACACCTCGACCAGAAGAGCCTATGAAAGGGGTTGTGTCGAAGTCATCCTTGCTAAAAAGGAGAAAACACTTAGAGAATTTTCTAAGTTAAAATTGATCTTCGACCAAGAGGTTTTTGTGGTCTTCGACCGAGAGGATCCTGTGGTATTCGACTGAAAGGTCCTTGTATCAGCAAGCAAGTGAATTCAAATTCTAAGAAAGAAGGGAAACGTAGTTCACTTGGCAGTTAGGAAAAGCGACATGGCGTGAAGATATCGATTGAAGAACATGCAAGGGACATTTGTCCTCATCCTGGATCGAAGCAACCGTTCGACGGTTATTTACTACCAGTATAAATATAGGAAGTTTGTGTAAAATTCTGTGTGTTCAACTTATTAGTACAAGTCACTCAAATATATTCAAGTACCCGCTGTGTGAGAAAGAATTTTGAGAATGTACGTTTGAATCACCACATTTTAATTAAAGTCAAGTCTTTACATTTCGTTACAATCTTTGTCATTTACGTTTCCTTGCAAACTTTATCATTACAGTACTTTATCATTACTGCAAATTTACTTTCTCTTGCCTTCTACTTTCACTTTTATTAAATTCTTACCTTCATCCCCCCTTTACTCCTAATATCTTCTCAAACATTTTCATTTAAACTTACAAATAACTTAGCATATGTCCTAGGATCAATCTGATCGATCATGCAAGTAACCAAAAAATAATCATTTTTAGAAGATCAGCGGTTGTTTACCAATTTTCATGGTAAACACCCACACCCGTCCCTTCACATCCAATGATAGGGCTTCTTATCAATCAATGGTAAGATAGCAACATCTAAAGGAGGAGGAAAAGAACTAAGACCCTTTTGAGTAGGTAGAACATGCATAGTTGTTTGCTCGTAACATTTTCAGAACAATATCTTTCAAAACACACCAACACTTTCAAAATGAAATATTTTCAAAAGTCAACACTTTGTATACATTCTTATAGAGACGAAAACCATTACAAAGTTTTCCCAAACAAAGGCGCTTTCAAAAATAATTTCAAACAAACACAAACACATTTCAAACAAAGTATTTTCAAAGTGAACTAGCAACTAAGAGCTCGTAGATAACCATGGATGAAAATGATGCTAACACCTTCCCTTTTCATAGCCTACCCTCGAACTCAAGAAAATATCTCAAAAGGTCTTTCCTGTTCTTTTCACCCTTTCCTTTATTGGATAAAAGAAAAGTCGGTGGCAACTCTTGCTATCCAGAACAATTGCGATAAACCGCAAAACACCCGAGTCAGTTCTCCCACTGTATTACACCTAGTATCCCCCTTGAACTTGAGATGCGATAAGTTGGGAATCAGTAAAAATGTGTATTTCTCGGGCGCCAAGATCCTCAGTAAGTCTTAATCATACGAGCAAGGCCTCGTATTCATCCTAATTGTTCGAGGTTGGAAAGGAAAGATGTATCAACTATCAATAATTGATCTATTACTGCAAATCAATATTCAAGAAAAACCAGCCAAAACATTTTTCCTCCTTATTCATTTTTCCTCCTTATTTGTGTATAAAAGCAGTTTTCACTAAGATGATTTATCGATCTATCCCCCTCGTGCTACTTGAAGCACACTTCTGGTAGTATATTTTATCTAAAATACACTACAAAAATTAATTTGTGTATTTAGAAACTAATCTCTGTAGCCTTAAATGAGTTTAAAATGTTGTTTTTTAGGGTTAGGACTTTTGTCCCAATTGTTGTTTTTAAGCAACCAAACCCACAAACTCATAGTTTTATGAATATAGAGACTCAACATACACACACAATTCTATTATTTCCACAAAATTGTGCGATAATCATAATCACCATCACCAATTTAACTACCATTATTCCAACCACATGAACTGCACTCATTTCAGCGGCTCTTGAGGACCCGACAACAAACTACTCTGCCATTATGCCATAATAGCATGATATTGACAACACAGTTAACAATCATAACAATGATCATAATAATAATCATATAGTTGTGCATTCAATTAATAATCCCAAATATAAGCAGTAAATACTCTTCAAAAGGGAATGGTTCTTAGCGCATACATGCACTCATTAATTAGAAAATCTTCAAGCTCGCAGACATTAGTCACATATAGCTCGTGCATCAGTTGGTCATAGGGTAATACCTGAAAAACAATTGAAATTGTAAATATATATTGTAAAATTATATCAGTGACAAAATTCAAATAAAAAACACAGAATCAAACAAATTATGTTCTAAATAATTACATTGAATATGAAAATGCAATTTAAAAAGATGAATGAGATGAAACAGTCCTATAAAATATTAAAAACATATTCAGAAGATTTGGTTTCCTTTCCCTCTATGATAAAAAAAAATACACTTGATGAGAGAAAATTGAGAGGGGGTAGAGTATGTTCCAGTGAACCGAAAACCAAACCCTTGAACAACCCTAAGCAAAATACCGCAGAGACCAAGAACAGAACTCAACCATAAAGTGTAATCAATGAATTTGGATTGATATACAATACCTCATAGACCAAGAACAGAACCCAACCATAAAGTGTAATCAATAACTTTGGATTGATAGGCAATACCTTGTATGTCTCAGCGAGTGTAAGAACAATAAGCTCCTTAAGCTTAAGGATCTGATCAGGTGTCAATTGTGGAAGACGGTCAACATTACCTATAAGCCACTCAAACTTTTTAATGAGTAGATATATTATTTGCATTTTCACATAAATGGTAAAAGAAATAGAAAACCATGGATAAAGACAAATGTACAAATCTCACTGCGAATATTTACAAAGAATAAAATTAAGCAATTCCAAATTAAAAAATATGCTCCTGTGCTAGTATGCATATAAAAGTTTGCATGTGCAGTAGTAACTTTAACATACTAACCATAACTTTTTGATGAAATAAGTATGAACATATTTACCTAATTATTAATTATACACCCCATACTATCTATGGAAATATCTACAAAAGTTACAACTTAATATCTCAAGATATGAATATTCAGACATCGAATTAATAATAATTTCAAAAATCACAAATCACATGTAATGGTGCAACAAAGAACAATTTCCATAAAGTGTAATAAAGGTAACAGCATACTATCGGGAAAAGAAAAAAAACATCCGACGAGTGGAAGAAAACCCCCACAACACACACGTGCAGGGAGAGAAAGATAATCAATATATTTACTCTTGTAGTCACTCTATATTCCATGTGCAAACAACCTAAGCATATCAAGGTATAACTTTTTATCAGTTGCTTCAAGCTGCAAATATAATCAGAGTTAAAACATTTATAAGATAAACACACCAGCATTAGTTCCAACTCATGCATTATGAGTAAAATAATCATGTAGCAAGTTTAACACCTAAAAATCAATAACATTTGTATTCAATACAAACGTTGAAATTAAGTTGAATCAAACTAAAACTAATTACTCTAACATATAAAAATAGTAGAAACAATCGAATAAAAATGAGAAAACAATTGAATAAAAACAGTAAAAATTATCATCACCAATTATCGATACATACCAGATGGAATATCCTTTTGCGAATTTGAAGCCATGAGCGAACAAATCTAAATAAATGAAAAACAAACAAAATCAAATAATGATAATAGTTAGATTATAATACTTCTCAAAAATTCACGAAAAATTCACCGATTTTGATTAACAGAATCGTCGAGCGCGAGCAATGAAACTCAGATTGATAAACGAAATAGAAAAATAGAAATTGAGAGAAATAAAAATTACGAAGAAGAAGATTGAAGAAGATGAAAACCTGAACAACATCGTGAACGTTAACCCCATCTTCACCAACATACAAATCGTTCTTCTTTTCGATCTAGAAGGTTTCAGAGAAGAGCAAATAACGATTTTGTTCTTCGATGAAAGAAGTAGAATTAAGAGAGGGAGAAGAGATCGTCAGGATTAGGGTTAGGGTTTGAATTGGAATCAATGGAAATATATTGAGAGGGAGGTGATCAGAGTGAAGATGAATCGATGGATGATTCTTCAAATTCGGCATCGTCATCTTTAGCTTTGAAGCCTTCGAAGTGAGAATTGGTGTAAACAGCGAGACGAAGAAGATGAAGAAAAATATGAGAATAGGATTTTTTTTTATGTTTGTTGGATACACTGCATCAGAGCACAGGAAATGATTAATTTCTATGAAATCGAGGTTGGAATGTGAATCAGTAGAAGGAAAACTGGATATTTGGGGGAATAGTAAATGTAGGCGACAGTTGATCTTTCCCATGGCCCAAACAGACATAATTTTCCGTGATCTATAACTAACACATTTTGTAGAATATTTTTTATTTAATTTAAAAAATGAATAGAATTATAGTAATAGAAACTTTACTTTTATAGCATCTATTAAATATAATAGAAAGGATGAGAAATTGACATGTGTCAAACTTGCCAAAGTACTTATCTACCTTTATTATGTTTTATAAATTTTTTAGTGATTGATTTTCTATAAGTTTATTTATTTGTTTTATTTTTACTCTAGTTTTCTCCACCTTTTTTACTCAAAATTATTTTTTAATAATAATAGTTGTTTTATTTTCCAATAACAACAATAATGTTATTTAATGAATAATTTTCTATGAGTTTATTTATTTGCTGATTTAATTTTTTTATTTTTAAAAGTTAGTAATTTAGGATTTATTTATTATAAAAAATAAAAAATAATTTCAAGAATATTAAAAACTAATAAATATATGGTATGAACTGTGGATGCATGTTTACTTATAAAATATTTTCAACTTTGTTAGTCTGATTTAGAGAAATATCTTTTTTGTGATTTAATCAGTTCAAGAACGAAACAATAATCGAAAAGGTTAAATTGATATGATATGACAGTGATCCAAGGTTCTGATGCGATTAAGAGGAGTGGTCCTGCAAGGTTAACACTCCAACACATAAGTAAGTAAGCGAGTGAAAAATGAAGTCTCGATGGATAATGATATTCATACCTTATAAATGGAATGTTAACTCATTTAAGCAAGAGAGTTAGTTAGCAACTAAATTGAGAATGAGTGTGAGAATTGGATGATCATTGGATGAATCATAACGGTGGGAAAGAGTTCTTTCGTGAAGTATAAAGTTCATCTACTTTCCCGATTCGCATGTTAGGCCTTTATGCCTTTTGGGATTTACGGTCGACCAAAAGCAGTTGCCCCTAAAGTCCTTATTTTCTGTTGTTCATGGCAAGGGGCTTGCAATGAGTGGTTTCACCTGTTTATGAGGTCGTCATGTGGGGATATATGATAGAACACCGTCATTCTCGGGCGGCAGCTAATTTGGGACAACATTACGAGGTGTCAGGGATGACTGACATGTATCCCCATTCTAGCAAGCAATCACTTTTTGTTTATATTAAGTGTACTCAAGTGTTTTTCAAATGGTTTCAGGAAAATCTCAACCGTTGATGGTAGGGAGTGATCATACAACCTTTAGTTTTCTAAAGGCGTGTGCAGGGTCACCAAAAAATCATTATAATCTTTTGCTGGCTATTTATTGACTTTGCACGAGGAATTTATCCTATCTTGTACCTTTATTTCTAGGACTCTCTAAGACGAGAGTTGATTCATGCCTGATAAATTTTGCCTATCGGTTTCGTTTCACGTTGTAATACGGTGGGAGAACTGACTTGTTTTGTGTTTTATCGCAAATGTTACAGATAGCAAGAGTCGTCACTGACTTTTCTTTTATCTAATAAGGAAAGGGTGAAAAGAATATGAAAGACCTTGATAGATTTCGAGTTCGGGAGTAAGTTATGAAAAGGGAAAGTGTTAGCACCCTTTTCATCCGAAGTTATCTACAAGCTCTTAATCGCTAGCTCACTATTGGATGTGAAGGGACAGACGAAGGTTCATCGTACAGTCATTGAAGGCAACTTGAAAAGATGCTTTAATAGTTTTGTAAGGGATTATATAATTTTTCATAGGCAACATCGAAGGGCCGTCGAGGGACTATGATCTTTTATTTGTGGGTCTTTTGCTAAAGCATCCCTATGCTCGAGGGACATAACCGTTATTCCGAAAGGCAACGAATAGAGGTTACCCTAAAGGTGTAAGTGTGCAAAGTGTGTTTGATTCAGTTATGTTTATCTTGAAATTAGAGTTTTGCTATCAGTTGATTTTAGTCTTACCATACAAACCCTAATTACTCACAGTTGCATAGAAATATAATAGCAGAAGATAAAGGCGAAAACGTAAATCTAAAACTATTACAGAGCTTTGGGGCAGTTACATAATAATAAAGAGTGCGAGAAATAAAACTGTTGTACTCCAAAATTTGCCCTCTCATGTCTCGAGAGACCATCCTGGACTCTTAGAATTACTTCAGTCAAGTTTCAAGCCTCAGATCACATTTTCTAAGAAGAATCATTCAAATTATCAAAAGGGGGCAAAATGAGCAAAATTGGAGTTTCAGCTGGAAAAAGTCAACCGGATGCTAAAAAGTCAAACTTTGACTTTTTGACCAAACTTGAGTCCCAAAAATCACATTATGTCAAGACATCCAAAAAATGAAATTTGATCATCAAAAATCAAGAGAGTCAAAAAATCCAACTTTGCAAGACTTTGAAATTTTTCTAAGTATTTTCTATAATTGATTAATTTCATTTACTTCATGATATTTTTTTACTACAATTCTAAATAATTCAAAATGATGCAAGTAATTCAAGTTATTACAAAGTAGCATTTTTGCAAAATTACAAATTCTAAAACTATGTCTTGATTGAGTTCTCTCAAGAAAACCTTGCCACAATATTTTTTCCCTTGACATAATGTGCGTAAAATATTCCACAAGACCAAATTTGTGCCATGCTACAAATTATATTGTCCAAGTTGACCAAAGTGTGATATGCTACATTGCCACAACACTCCAAAATCTGCTCCATGCTGCCCTGCAAGAAACCTTGTGCTATGCTGCACCCCAAGTATGCATATGATGTCCTATACAGTCCAAAATTGCTCTATGCAGTCTGCCCAAACCTGCATTATAACAGCCCCAAAATTGCACCAAAATGGTAAAGTAAAATTGTGTGAAGAAAGTGTCAAAACAGTAGGCAAAAAAAATTCAAAATAACTTATTTGGTTTCGCCCCTAAACCATAGTCAAGGGTCTACAAAAGGGACTGTCTCATAAGACATAGGGGTTGTATTTTGAGAAGTTGGATTTTAGAGAGAGCAGAGAGAGTTTTGTTGAGCAGAAAAATAGTATCCTTTGTAACCTTGACTCATTCACTTTCAAAAACCAAATTTGTTCTTGTTCAAAACAAAAACCCCACCCATTACTCCATCATACAAATTCTCCCATAAGCTAAACACCTCATCACCTACAAAGATTGTCCAAACATAAAAACAGTCCCTGTAGTGCTATTCATTTTCACTTCCAAAAACACCAAAAACATTACAGTACAGTCTAACTCAGTTTCAACAGCCCGAAGCAACTTTCTGAAGATTCATTAGGGCCATCACATCATTTGGAAAAGCATTCAGATTTAAAAGAGCCAGCGCAGCCCAAAGGTAAGTCTACTTGACTTGATATCTTTTCATACATCATTAATTATTTGTTGTCTTCGAAAATAAGATGTAGTATTTTATTATCCCTTTGGACTAGTCATTTTCTTATTGCTTAGGTTTATCTAATCATTTGTTGTTCATGTTTATCCATCATATGTTGTAAACTAACCTGTACAGACCGTAAAAACCATGTTTAAGGCAAAAAATGCAGCATGACTCGATAATACCTGCATGCGTCGACCCATTATAAGTGAAAAACAGGGTATGAGTCGACACATAACCTTATGCATCGACTCATACCCCAAAAAAATCTCTAAAACAGAAACGTGAAAGATGATTGGATCGACACATACGTGTTTCGCGTCGATACAAGAAGAAGTATGAGTCGAAACATCTCAGTATGTATCGACTCATACTGAGCTGATTTTGTTTTACAGGGGCAGGGAAAGGCTATGTGTCGATGCATAGCAGCATGGGTCGACACATAGCAGTTCAAAATGCATTTTTCCTTTTATTTTACACTGTTTCTACATTGTTTTCATTATTATTCGATATGGTTGTAATATTTTAGTCTCCACTTCATCCCTGTTGTTAAATTGTACCCCCATCCCCCTAAAGCGATGTAATAGCTTAGATTTTATTTTATGCATTTTTACTTGCTTTTCATATATTGCTAGTAAATAGGATGTATGGCAAGATAAAAATCAACAAATAGGTGACTTTCAAATACAAGACAAAAATGCATGTAAACTAACACACTTGCACACTAGCACCCTTAGGGTAATCCCACTTCGCTGTCTATCGGAAATTTAGTTATGTCCCTCGAACATGGGCATTTTAGCAAAAGACCCTCGATAAAAGATCGTAGTCCCTCTATGACCCTCAATGTTGCCTTCGGTAAACGATCTAGTCCCTAAAAAACGACATTGCTAAGACGCCTCATATGTTGCTGTTGTACCCCAAAATTTGCCCTCGCATCTTACCACCAGCAATCTCAGCTTCAGGCGTTTCATGACTTTTCAAACTAGCTCAAGAATCGGACAAACGGACTTTTCTCGTCAGTCAAACAAAAATTAGGGTTTTATTGATTTTTAGGACTCTGGATGGCTTCAAATAATTGGCTTAGGGTTTTGGTTGATTCTGGCTCAATTGTGATCAGGCGAATGTTCGTTGGCATTTAATCAGGAATTAAGGTTTTATGGGCATATTCTCAGAAGGATTTAAATTCCACAGCACTTTGCAGTTTATTCCGAGATTCGGGTCGAATTCGCATTGTTTTTAATTTAATCAGTAAGAGGAGGCAGTTGGTTTGAATTCACCAGTCAAAGGATATGCGCAGTTTGGAATTACAGTGCTTGGCAAAGAATCAGTGAAAAGGGAATGCGCTTGATCAGTTTATTTTGGTTAACTGCTGCTTTGCTTTGGATATTGGAAAGGACAGGTTTAATTGGTCAATTACTAAAGCATTGTTTTATTTAAATTATTTATTATTCTAAATTAAGTGATTGAAATTTAGTTTTCAATTATTTTAATTCAAAGAGTTTTAAATAATAAGCAAACAATAAAGAGAAAACAGAATTAATTGGATAATAAAAGCTTTTATTTATTATTAAATTAATTGTACAATTATTGTTTATGATTTAATTACAAACAATAGTTTTACATTGATTTAAATTTAAATAAAAAGATTATCCTAATTATTTGTCTAATCTTCAAATCTTCATCCGCTATCCCTCGCT